TTTTTATAATTACTCAAAATATAAGATATATTATATGGCGTCTTGTTTCTATAAATAAAATCAATTATTTTTATACATTAAAAATTAACATAAAATTGATAATTTAGATATATTTAAAAAAAATTCCCCAGCCCGATTTCTTTTTAGCAGATCTCAAATTGAAATTACGCTTAAGATGTTAGCCTTTTCTTCCTGAATATTTTTTTAAATTATATTCATATAAAATCTTAGCCAAATTCATAATTAAAAATTTAATTTAAAAATTAAGAAACCGCTAATTATATCAAAGAGAATATTGAAAAGATCCTAAAATTTCCATTTTTTTAAATATAAATGTAATGTTATTTTAATCTTTTTCTATTAAAAAAAGTAATAAATCAATCATTTTTCTCATTAATCATTTTCTTTATTATTTTAATATTTTTTACCCTTTCTAATCATGCAGCCAGCGTCTACAGAGCGGGGGGGGGGGCAGTTTGTATCTAATGAGGGGGGTCGGGGGAGCCTTAAAGGGAAGTAGGATAAATTTATTGGGAGGATTATCTATTAAATTTTTAGAAAAAATAGGACAAAATATATTGCTGCAAAAATTAATACTTTTATTATAGACCTATTATAATACAATGATATTCATCGACCGAATAATCTATATATTGCATATAATCATAGAAATTATTTTCCAAATAAAACTTCTATCCCTTTCTCTTATTTAAAAAGGTTAGACATTCTCAACAAACTCATATTCATGCCAAACAAATAAAAAAGTATTCATTGTAAATGTGAGTTTTTTAATTAAATTCATGATCTAAAAAAAACATTTTTATATTCACAATATTTTGATAGTTGGTAGTAGAGCTAAAATAATTTAAGTTATTCTCTTTAAAATTTAAGAAAGGAGTACCATTATAATTAAAAAGGTTTAAAATAATGTAAAAACATCGCCTCTTATGGGGGTATCATAGGTTTTTGAAGGGTTTGCATAACCCTGTTATGTAGACGCTGCATGCAGCCTTTCGACTTACAGACCTTGTGCACTAAGTTAATCATCGCCATGACATTGTTAATTTTGAATTTTCGTATATCTTTAATTATTTATTTTATTATTTTGCAGACCCGTCACGTGCACTGTAATAATTTTAAAATTCGGACAGGGACCAACTAAAGATCAATCCGGGCTGGGCCAAAAAAATTTTTTTAAGCCTGGGTAGGTCGATTTAAAAAAAACAATATTCTTTGAAGCAATTTATAAAATAGAGCAAAAAAATCTTTTAAAATAAAGAAATTTTGAAAATCCGGGCAGGCCATAAAATAAACAATGCTGTTAACGCTATTTTAAAAAAGTAACGTATCTACCAACGCTTACCCAAAAAAAGTAACTTCGCTATTAATTAACTACTTTCTCAAAAAAATAGCGCGTTATAGCTATTATATACTTTTTTACATATAGCGTAGCTTTTAAATTTTTTTTACAAAAAGCGAATAAATAAAATATTGCGTCCCAATTTATATTACATTTTATAATAATAAATGAAATATTTATTTTGAAATATAATAATAGTATCGCATAATATTACAGGGTTGGCAAGTCGGTCAATTGACCAGTCAAATTCAGTCAATTGACCGGAGGAGTATTTGACCTGGTCAAATATGAAATACTCTAAAAAAATTTAAGGAAAAATAAATTAAAATGTTTAAAAAAGGGAAAAACGCTGTAAATACATGTGATCACAATGTTTGCTTATTTTTTGGGTCTACAATATCAAGAGGAAAACTCACTAGTAGTGAAATTAATGAAGTATGTGATATAATTCAAGAATTGGCTATTTTACAAGGTAGTGATGACCAAAATATTTTAAGTGATATAATTTATTTCAGAAGCAAAAACAGCATGTTTAATCTAGCAAATTATGTGGAAAGTAGTAATTTCCAGAAACAATCAATTCTGACCTCAAGTTAATAGATTAAACTTTGTCCACCCTGCCCATTAAGAAACTAACAATTCCTAGTTCTACTTCTTTAGAAAGAAATAGGTCAATTTGGGTTAATATTCTTATGAAAATAGAAATCAATTGAAGATCTAAGACATCAGGAAAATTGATTAAAAAATATTAAAGAAAATGATAATATTGAATATGAATCAGAACAAGACTCTGCTACAGACAGCTAGCTACACGTTAGTTATTGAATGACAATGAATTTAAAAAATTAATATTATAGATTCATTTTACTATTATCTTCAAAATAAAGTTAATATTAACTTAAAAATATTTGAATTTGACCACATTTGACTGATCAAATATCGGTC